TGGGATGGAGAGATTCTGGATGGCCTGCAGATGGCCGACAGCTTAGGGGATCTCTGAGTCTGGTGTTGGGGGTGTTAGGTGTTGTGGGACTGTTGGCAAAGCCATCAGGAAAGTGGCCACCCGTCCCTCCTCCTCCCACAGGACAGGTACTGTGTGGCAGCACTAGCTGCCTGCTTCAGGGCCTGCCGTATCCTTTCTACAACTTAGTGAGGCAGGAACCCTTAGTATTCCTATTTGCTGCAGCCCAGAAACATTGGGTAATTTACTCTGGGCCATAAAGCAAGTAAGTGGCAGAGGAGGAACATTTATCCAGATCTGACTGACATCAGAGACCTGCTCGTAGACACTGACAGCCACCAGGGCAGCCAGGAGCATCGTCGCCTCTACCTAGAAAACCTGGGCGCATCCAGTCACCTCACAGGCTACTGAGCAAATGCCCCCTTAGCCTGAGGGGGAGACCAGTGCTTCTCACACCTGAGCGTGCATCAGAGCTGCCTAGAGGATATGTGAAAACACAGATTGCTGGACCTCAGAGTCCAGTCAATGACTCTGGAGGTCTTGACAGCGGGCCCCAGAATGTGCATTTCTAGCAAGTCCCCAGGTGCTGCTGGTGCGGCCAGCCCAGGACCCCTCTTGGAGAACTGCTGGGGTAGACCAGTCCTGCTAAGTGGAAAATCTGCCAAAATATTATCACTTCAGTTCCTGCAGGGTAATTAGAGAATGCTGGCTTTTACTGCTCTTTGAATTTTGTGATTTTTATTTTAAATGAAAGTCCACAAAAGGTGTTTTGGGTATAAATTTATATTTCCCAAAAAGTAGTCTGAAGAAAATATACCACAATGTCTCGTGGGTGGTAAACACACAGGTGTTAGTTATTCTGTGTTTTTCTACAGGTTTGAAATTTTTCAAAATAATTTTTAATGAAAGGAAAGACTAGAGGTGTAAGTAAACCCCACGCCCTGTGTCCCAGCTTTACAAGGAAGGATTTCATTCCTGAAACCTCCCAAGTAACTGGAAGAGAAGCGCTGCTGTCTGCCAGCGCCACGCTGTCTAAACATGCCGAGGCTGTGAGCACATCTCCACCCTCAGCCCTGTCTGTGGAATGCTTTGCAAACAGTGCCAGTATTTGAGTTTGCTCTAATTTTGTCACTGGTTCGCCTGTGGAACATTAGATGCCTGTCCCTCCACATCAGTGTTGACGATCTGTGAAGGTGAGCTCCCGAACTCTGCTTGGGGGTTTTGTGCGAGGCGTGCCTGCCGCTGAGCCGGTTGCAGGCAGACAGGCCTTCGCTGAGACGCCGAGAGTCCTTTGGATGGGTCCTGCGATGCGCAGCCCAGCTCCTCAGTGCCCTCTGCTGTGGGCGCGGTTTGCTGTCTTTGCACTTCCCTTGAGCTGCCTCGTTTCACTGTGGAATAGTCCGTGAAATGTTGCAGCTGCAGGATGTTGCTGCTTCTCCCCCTCATCGTTTTTAAAATATAGCTTGAGAAAACGTAATGCTGATGATCAGTAGTCATTTTTATCCTTCTCCCTGCCTTCCCTGCTCCCACCTTGCTGCAAGCTGCTAGCATCTCTCCCTGGAATTGTTGCTGTAGCTCCCGAGGTGCACCCCTGCCTCTGCCCTGGCCTACCTGCATCTCTCCTCACCCTAGAGGCCAGAAGGGATCCTGTTATCACAATAAAGCAGATCACATCCCTCCCTGTTAAAACCCCCAATGGCCTCCATCCTAATCCTAGAGAAAAAGACACAGCCCTTATAAAACACTGTATGACCTGGCACCTGGTCCCTCCCACGTACTCCCTCTCTGACCACATCTCCTCCTTTCTCTCCCCTGCCTGACTCTGCTTCAGCCACCATCTCGTTCTGCTGGCTGCACTCCCCGCCTAGAGCCTTTGCATTTACTGTGTCCTGCAAACATCCACGTAGCTCCCTCTCTCGCCTCCCTTAGGTCCACCCTAATGTCACTGGATCATGCAGGCCTTCCCTGCATCTCAATCACAAATAATAACCCATGCTCGCTCTGCACTCCCCACACCTCTTCCCTGCTTCATTTTTCACCCTTTCATGGACTGTGTATTTCACTTCCCGGCCTCCTCTATTAGAATATGAGTTCCTTGAGGGCAGGGATTTTTCCAGGACCCCATAGTTGGCACTCCAATATTTCTTGAACAGACGAATGATAGCTTCTGTGTTTATTGAGTGCTTACTATGCACTGGGCACTGTTCTAAACACTTCTAATATTTTTTAACTTTGAAGTTCAGGGGTACATATGCAGGGTTGTTACACGAGTAAACTCATGTCATGGAGGTTTGTTGTATAGATTATTTTATCACCCAGGTATTAAGCCTAGTACACATTAGTTATTTTTTCCAGTCCTCTCCCTCCTCCTATTCTGTACCCTCAAGTAGGCCCATTGTTTGTTGTTCCCTTCTATGTGTTCTTGTGTTCTCATCATTTGGCTCCCACTTATAAGTAAGAACATGTGTATTTGGTTTTCCGTTTCCACGTTAGTTTGCTAAGGATAATGGCCTCCAGCTTCATTCATGTTTCTGCAAATGACATGACCTCATTCTTTTTTTATGGCTACATAGTATTCATAGTATATATGTGCCACATTTTCTTTATCCAGCCTACCACTGATGGGCATTTAGGTTGATTCCATGTCTTTGCTATTACAAACACTTCTAAGTTTACCTCATTTATTCCTTACCCTGACTTTATGAAGCATATACTATGATTACCTTCATTTTAGAGATGAGAAGACAGAGAAGTAGATAAGACACGTGGGTCACACATAAAGATAGCACGTAAATCAGAACCAATGGGAGATGGATCTATATGGAGAGATCTATACCTAGATATAAAGAGAGAGATCAAGATCGATCTCTTGATATAGATATCTAGTAAATCACAAACAGTGATTTATTTTAAGGAATTGGCCCATTTGATAATGGAGCTGGCAAATCTGAAGTCTGCAACTCAGGCTAGAGACCCAGGGAAGAGTTGATGTTGCAGTCTTGAGTCTGAAAGCTGTCTGGAGTCTGAAAGCTATCTGGAGGAAGAATTTCTTCGCTTTTGGGGGATCTTTCTTTTCCCTTAGGCCTCTCTGATTAGATGAGGTTCCCTCACCGCATGGAAACAGTCACCCTGCAGTGTCTTGATTTTAATGGTAATCACATGTAACAAACACCTTCACAGCAACGCCTAACCTAGTGGTTGACCAAGCAACTGTGCACAGAGCCCAGCCCAGCTGACACGGAAACTTACCGGGCACAGCCTCTGAAGAGGTGGTGTTGAATGGTCAGGCTGATCTTGCTCACCTTATCTCCAAGGGACTTCCCACCCGTCCTGATGGGACAGAGGGAGTGAGACACAGCCCCAAAGGGTTTCTGTTGCTCAGGGGTTTCCCATCCTAGAAGGGGTTCTCTGACTTGAAGACTACCCCGAACCCTAGGGTAGCCTGTTCCTTCTGTGAACAGCAAGGCTCCAGCCACCATCTCTCTTCAGCTTTTCTCTCCCCGGAAGCCTTGTTTTCGTAGCAATGTGCCATGTACAAGAATGGGCCTGCCCTCACTCACGTCTAGGCTGTGGGGACTACACCTGCTGAGTTGGGGTCCTGGCTGTTACCCTTTTGCAGTGTGAGACGAGGAGTGCAGACCTGGATTTGTGGCATCTGGCAGCCTGTGGAGATCACTCCTGGCCCCTGGCATAGCTTCTAACTACAGGATTCTGGGGACAAGGACAGGGCTGTGGGATGAGGCTGCACCCAAGTCTAGTTGCACCTCTTTCCAGCCGCATGATTCGGCTGACCACTAATGTCTGTGAGCTTCACTTTCCAAATCTGTAGCAACAGGCATGACAACACAGCCTGGCCTGTTTTGATGCGAGGTCAGTAGGCCTCTGCTTGTTCCTCTGCCATCTTCAGACCAGTTCCATGAGGGACAAGTCAAGCCTAGGGAGGCCCAGTGCAAGTGCAGAGAAACTGCTGTTGGTGCACACTGGCCTGAGTCCTCGACCGAGTGGAGTGGGCCTTATTCAGAGGCACGGGAGCAGCCTGCCCACTGCTGGAAAAGGCCAGAGCCCACTTGAGAGCCGTGGCCTCCGTTTTCCAGTGGCACTCCCCGTTTCACGATGGTTTGGTCCCCTAGAAACGTTCCCGGGCCGCCACAGGCCTGGGGTTCAACTGGGGGCTCCCTGCCCGGTCACAATTCATCTTGGGCTGCCAAGGGCCCTTGGGCCAGCCGGAGTCCCTATAGTGGACACTATTCTCAGACTATGCTGTGGAGGCCTAGGGGTACCCCACTCCCAAAGTGATTATTGCTGTGTTGTGCACCCCTGTGTTTTTCATGGTACATGTTGCAAACAACAGAAGTAATCACAGCAAAACAGCCCCCTTCAGTGCTGTTCCGCAGGGACAGCTGCCACAGCCTGGGATACCTGCACGCACGTGTGAGGGTGTGACATGCATCTGTGGATCACGCCATAGGTGTTTTGTGCTTCAACTTCTGTTGCCTTAAATATCCCTTTTTTAAGTTCTGACCACATGAATATCTTTTTTATTACATATATATTATCTTTTAACCTATTTCCTCAAAATATCACCACCATTGTCAATATCACTATAATTTCACATATTAGAATGATCGCTGTAATGTCCACATGATTGCCCTCCTTTTGATAGGTGTGATAATTCACTAAACTGTATTTTAGATTGCATTCCTTTGTATGTGTATCTTTTTGCTTCTGTGGAATTAATTCCTTAGAAATTCATTTCTAGAGTCCACAGTGTTGTGTCAAAGAGTGTAAACATTTGTTATTCTTCATACTTAATTCTCTCCTAAAAGTTATTTTCCTGTGCTGTGACGCATACTTATTTTTGGATTACCATGTAAATAACAGTGGGGAGAGGGAATGTGGAGAAGAGTGAGGAGAAAAGATCTATTCGCCGTAACTTGGAATACCACAGGGTGGTGGATCTTTTTTTTTTTCTTCTTCCTCAGCACAACCAGCTCCACAGCCAGTAGTTGCGACACTGAGTTCACTAAAGAAGACGAGCAGAGGCTGAAGGATTATATCCAGCAGCTCAAGAATGACAGGGCTGCGGTCAAGCTGACCATGCTGGAGCTGGAAAGCATCCACATTGATCCTCTTAGCTATGACGTCAAGCCCCGGGGAGACAGCCAGAGGCTGGACCTGGAAAACGCAGTGCTGATGCAGGAACTCATGGCCATGAAGGTATGTGGTGGGCGGGTCCCGTGCATGAGGCTGCCACCAGGAGGAAATCTAATCGACCTCTGAAAGCAGGTCCAGCAGATGAGGAGGAATCAACCCCTCCTGTTGAGTCACCTCTGCCCAGAGAAGAGCCAGATCCTTGTTTGTAGACAGAGCTGGTTTCACTATGTCTGGGGATCACTTGGGCTGGGTGTTTCTGGACAGGGGAGTTGAATTCTAAGGGATTTCTCAGGGTGTCCCAGCCCAACTTTGGAGCCCTTCATCTAAGAGAAGCCAGGTCAGACCTCTGCAGGGTGGAGCCTCTGTCAGTCTAAATTGACCCCTAATCTGAAGAATGCTTGGAAGTATGTCTTGGGTTGCTGATGCTGATGTTAACTCCCGGCAGGGGGAGAACAGGGTGAGTCCAGTTGTAGAGTTTGGCCGAGAGCCCTGATTTCCTGACATCCTGTACCTTTGGTGCAATGTTGAGCCTGCTCAGACCATAGTGCCCTCCAGTGAAGGTGTACAGTGCTGTTGAGGTCAGTGTTTCAGTGGATCTGAAACACTGGGCCTTTCAGCTGCTGGTGGAGATGTCTACCTGCTGGCGTTTCTACAGTAGGGAGCTTTCTTGGAAAGCTGGTGTCCCCTACTGGGAAGTGGCTAAACTGCCATCCCTACAGCAGGACACCACTTTGCCTGTTTCTGGTGTGGAGTGCCAGGCATCAGCCCTTCACCTGGTACCTGCTTTCAGAAGGCAGCTCTGGTATAAGTAAGAGCATATCTGATATTTGTCCTTGGTTCTGCGACAGAGTTTCAGAAACCCTTGGAGTTTCTTGCTGTGCTAGGGGCGTCTTTGTGATGCTGATGAGGTGACTTATGGTGAGCCCTAGACAGCTTCAGAATGTGGGCTGGTCATCAGAAGGACCAGGTGTGTGATGGAGGATTGGGACTTTCAGCCACCTGACCTCCGGGGAGGGGAAGAGAGCCAGAGATTGAGTTCCATCCTGTGGCCAGTGATTTCATCAGTCATACCTGTGTAATGGAGCCTTAATAAAAACTCTGGACCTGAAGCTCAGAGAAGCTTCCTGGATGGTGAACACACTGATGTGCCAGGAGGGCGACACACCCTGATTCAGTGGGGAGAGGGCCCAGAAAATCTGCATTTGGGACTCTCAGCCTTTGCCTTGCTTGTACCCTCTTATAACAGAACAATAATCATAAGGATAGTGCTTTCCTTCATTCCGCAAGATGTTTTAGCAAATTACTGACCCTCAGAGGGGTTGTGGGTTCCCCCGAATTTGTAGACAAGGCAGTCAGAAGTATAAGTGGTCGGGGGCCCATCCTGCTGGGGACTTGGGGCAGCATCTGAAGGGAGGGCAGCCTGTGGAAGACTCTGCCCTTGACCTGTGAGGTCTGCACGAACTCCATGTAGTTAGCATCAGGACTGTACTGCGGCGCACACAGGTGGAGTGGGAACAGAAGAACAGCCTGCTGGGAGCGTGGTTCCATGTCACTGCACCCTGCATCTCAGACCACAGCACAAGTGGGAACTTGCCTGGGGCTGCTCCTGCAGATCTAGGGTCAGCACACGACTCTGCTGCCGGCCCTAACTTGCTTTCCACATGCCACTCTCCTGCGAGCAAAGGCCTGAATTTGCATGGCCTCAGATTCTGCCATGCCCATGGCTCCCAGAAGTGAAGATGGGAGGGGGTTGTTCTCTGGCAGAAGCCAGGTCATGGTCAGGAACTGGAGTCTAGCAAGCCAGAGCGGGTCGTGGCAGTGCTGAGTTAATGGCTCCGTTTGGGATCAGTACTGTCCGCAGCAGGGTGAAAAACAACCCCCTGGTCGCACTGTCTCTGTAAAGTGGAGGGGAGCTGGCGGCAGCAGCCATCCTGACACCCTCAGGGGTGACTCACTCAGCACAGCCCTGTCCTTGGGAGCTTCTTGAGCTAGAATTTGGGTGAAGTTTGGGAAGACACTAGGCAGTGGTAACAGATGCAGGAATCTCACCTCCCACCCCCACCCCTGTGATTTCCAAACTGGCTCATCTTCATCCAGCCACCCAGCTCCCATCCCGGCCTCTCTCTGGAGAATCCTCATGCTGCTTTGGCTGATTCCACCTCTCGTTGCCTATGAGCCGGCCTTGGGTCCATCATCCAACCGGGAGCCCTCTTTGCAGACTCTTGCACGCTGTGGCACAAGCCCTGAGGCCCCCCTTCCACCATTTATTCCAAACATTGTGTTTCTTTTGGCCAAAGACTAAGGATTTCCTTTTTAAAATTGGCCAATATGTAGGGTGATAAATTTACTGGTGTTCTAGCCAAGAAAGACATTTTTGTTGGAATAAAAGTTCTAATACTCCCTTTGCCACTTGAAAATAAAATGTGTACTGATCTTAGAAATTTTCTAAAAAAGTAGAAAAGCTGGGAGGAGAACAATCCATAATATTATGATCCAGGGCAGCCATTACTAGCATTCTGGCTTGGTTCCCTGTGACTTTCTTGAAGGCCAAACATCAGAGTTGTCTCCTTTTCCTCTGAGTCTCTCGCAGTCTGCTTGGGGATGTGTGCTTACCCATACCAAATCCATTATCCAGCAGGTTATGTTGGATTTTCACCATTTTCTAGGATCCAATTGTTGAGAAATTCAAGTTTCTGTTTTTGTCATACCTTTTGTTTCTAGATGATCTGCTTGGCTCCTTTTCAAGTCCATTCTTCTTTTTGTTGTTGTTTGTTTGTTTGCTGTTTTGAAACAGGGTCTCACTGTGTTGCCCAGGCTGGAGTGCAGTGATGCAGTCATGGCTCATTATAGCCTTGCCCTGGGGCTGGAAGTGATCCTTCTGCCTCAGCCTCTCGAGTAGCTGGGACTACAGGAATGCACTGCCCTACCCAGCTGATTTTTTTTTTTTTTTTTTTTTTTTTGAGACGGAGTCTCGCTCTGTAGCCCAGGCTAGAGTGCAGTGGCCGGATCTCAGCTCACTGCAAGCTCCGCCTCCCGGGTTCACGCCATTCTCCGGCCTCAGCCTCCCGAGTAGCTGGGACTACAGGCGCCCGCCACCTCGCCCGGCTAGTTTTTTGTATTTCTTAGTAGAGACGGGGTTTCACCGTGTTCGCCAGGATGGTCTCGATCTCCTGACCTCGTGATCCACCCGTCTCGGCCTCCCAAAGTGCTGGGATTACAGGCTTGAGCCACCGTGCCCGGCCACCCAGCTGATTTTTTAAGTTTCTTTTTTTTTGTAGAAATGGGGTCTCACTCTGTTGCCCCGGCCAGTCTCAAACTCCTGGCTCAAGTCATCCACGCACCTTAGCCTCCCAAAGTGCTGGGATTACAGGTGTGAGGCACCAGGCCTGGCCTTCTCTTCCTTTTTGAACGTATTATCCCTTCATTATGACTCCTATATCTCTTTGTTTTAAACCTTTGTTTTCTAGTTTTCCACATTGTTATTTCCGCTTCTTGTAAATGCTGACTCTTACTTTTTGCATCTGCGCTGATTCATCCTCATTTCCTCAGTGGTGGGGGCAGGGGGAGAGAATGCAAGCACCAGCTCATCCTCCGTGGAAACGTCTTCTGTGGGGCCCTGTGGATCCTGGGTTGCAGATGTCCCTACAGAGTGGTTCTGTGTTTAGATCTGTTGGGACTCATCAGTTTCTGAGGTTTAGGACTGGTTTTTGTTAGGCTCTTGACTCAGGATTCCTATACCACACCTACACATGACACGAGCTTGAGGTTTGATTCCTCGAAAGAGATTTTCTTTTCCCACCCAGAGCCTGAGAGATGACAAGTTTACTTGCCACATCTCCAGAAAGGAAGTTTTCTAGTGTCTTATTCTGGGCAGCGTATTGAGAATCCTGCGCCCGTAGGGGTCTGAGCTGTGGCTCTCTGCCTCAGAGGCCACACCCTGGCCTTGGGTAACACTAAGCCCCCAGGTGGAGGGCCCGAGGACAGTCTGGCGCCTTGCTGGCCAGCGTGTGCCCTCCTTGCCGTTCCCTCTGGCAGAGTTCCCGCTTCATTTCTGGCACCCATGGGTTTCTCTTTCCCTCTTTCAAGCATGCACTTGTATGTTTGTTCTGGAAGCAACCATCGCGTGAGCTCAGTATGCAGTGTTGCCGGAACCTTCAGAATCCTGCTTCCAATGGCAAAAGATCCGAAGGTTCTGGGCGTGGCATACCTTTCATTCTGGCATTTCTGTCTGATATTTAGGGGAAAGAAGGTTGGTGTGTTCTGAGTAGTTTACTGAGCACATTGACTAACGTCCCTCTTGAGGGGTGCCCTCTAGCTATTTCCCCACACTGGAGAGTGAAAACATCTACCCACCAGTCCAACTTACCCAGGAGAGTGCACCAGGCCTGGGACTAATTACCTCAGAAGGGTCACTTCAGGGGTGGCCAGAATCTGAACTAACCTCAGGTGAGTCCGTCTCAAGGTGGGCTGGGAAGGCTGTACCTGGTGGCCGTGGGCTGGTGGAGTCACCCTCCAGCAGAAGTGTGGGGACAAGAATCATGCATGGGCTCACCTTGAAAGGGAGGGAGGCGGCATAGCCCTGAGCCAGACAGCTCAGCTGCAGTCTCTGGCTCCACAGCTTACCCAGTAGCCATGGGCAGGGGGATTTCCCTCTGTTTTCTCAGATTCCCATCTGTCAATGGAGATAGTCTCAATACCTACCCCAGGTTGGGAAGATGAAATGAGCCATGTCATGTGAACACTTAGCACAGTGCCACGTGCTCAGTAAAGGCTAGTGGCTGCCATTGTTATCGGCTCCTGGTCCCAGGATGGCACTGTCCTATTTTGGATTCACTTCTTACTCTCCACTCATCGCTCTCATTTGAGTTCTTAGGATACTTTTAGAAGTTGTCTGATGAGCAGTCACCTGTGAAGGATGCTGTTTCTGTTGATTTCATTTGGGCCCTGAGAAGTAGGCAAGAGCCAGAGGTTGATGCTGCTGCAGGCATTTGTCGCCTGCCTGGCCCAGCTGCAGGGCAACGAAGGTGCCGTGGGAGTGGTTAAATACGTGGTTGGTGCTGTGGAAACCAAAATGGGAATTGGAAGGGACTTGGCCAGAAGAAGTCTTCCACGGATAGGTGACTTTACAGCCTCTGGCAGGTGCAGCCCAGTCTCTGCAGACCAGAGAATGGGTTTCCATTGAGGCCCATGTGCCTGTGTGGGGGCTCTATTTGTTAGAAAGGTTTTTCCTATATTGAACGACAATCTACTTGCCTGTAACTTCTACCCTTTTGTCTCAGGTCTAGTCCATAGACTGACAAAGTGCATGGCCTTATCCACACATCATTCCTTCAGAAGTGTGGTGACAGGTGCCATGTCTCCTCCCACTCATCTTACTGCCAACTTCAAAGTGATAACTGTACCACGGGCCTGTGGGTCATAGCCGGGGACCCCCACCCACCCACTTGGCAGCAGCCAGCCCTGCTCTCAGATCGTGGGTGCCTCATGTGCTCTGTGCTCCTTGCTCTGTAGGAGGAGATGGCCGAGCTGAAGGCCCAGCTCTATCTACTGGAGAAAGAGAAGAAGGCCCTGGAGCTGAAGCTGAGCACGCGGGAGGCCCAGGAGCAGGCCTACCTGGTGCACATTGAGCACCTGAAGTCCGAGGTGGAGGAGCAGAAGGAGCAGCGGATGCGGTCCCTCAGCTCCACTAGCAGCGGTGGCAAAGACAAACCCAGCAAGGTAGGGCCGGAGTGGCTTGGGGACACCCTTAGACTCAGGCCTCCCTGGCTGCCCAGTGACCACTGGCCACACCTCACCACCCTGCTGCTTCAGATCTTGTATTTGCATAGGAACTGCAGGCCATTCGTAGGTATCTAAGAAGGTGACATTTTGAGTGTAGCGAAACCAATCTACATTTTAGAAATACCAAATCTCACTTTATATAGTAGTTGAAACCTTTTCACATATCGCAGTCACATCAGAGGGGTGATCTCTGCAGCTGTCCACTGATATTGGTCTCACCTCCTTCATCTAATCCTCTGTCACACAGCAGCCCTCATTTGTTAGTTTATCGGTACAATAGTGCCCCCTTTATCCACAGGGGATGCGATCCAAAATCCCCCATGGATGCCTGAAACCACAGATAATACTGAACCCTTATATATTCTATGTTTTCCCCTATATATACATACCTGTGATGAAGTTTAATTTATAAATTAGGCACAGTAAGAGATTAATAACAACTAATAAAATATTAACAGAACAATTATAACAATATGTCAGCATCATTACTGTTGCCCTTTGGGGCTATTATTACATGACATAAGGGTAACTTGAGCACAAGCAGTGTGACACTGACAGTCGATCTGATAACCGAGACAACTACTAAATGACAGATGGGTGGGGAGTGTCTGCACTGTGGCTATGCTGGACTAAGGAATGACTTGCAGCTCAGGTGGGATGGTGCAGAGTAGTGCAAAATTTCATCACGCTGCTCAGAATGGTGCACAATTTAAAACTTATTGTTTATTTCTAGAATTTCCCATTGAATATTTTCAGACCATAGTTGACCTTGAGTAACTGAAACCTCAGAAAGCAAAACTGCAGTGAAGGGGGAGCTGCAGTACTTCTGTTCCAATGGTTGCATTTATTGTCGCCCTTAAGCCTCACAGGTCTGAGGAAAGAAGGTTATCCCCATTTACATGAGAGAAATCAGGCTCACAGAAGTCAGGAGTCTCACAGCTGAGAAGTGGCAGAATTGGGACTTAGCCCAGATGCACTAAGGGGCTCTCTTCCTTCCACCGCATTTCCTCCTTGACTCCTTCCTGCTGGCATTGCTGCCGTCACAGGGTGGTAAGCAGGAAGCAGCCTGCCGGCAGAGGAGGAGGAAGGAAGCCTTGGGTTACGAAGTCTACATCATCTGAAAGTGGGCTGTCTGATGATAGAATTTTTCAAACTCACTCTCTTATCAGCCCCCAGGTGTTTTTTTCTGGAATCCAAGTTCATTCCATTATCCTGTATCTCAGAATTTTCCAAATACTACATTGGAAAAAAAATAACCATGGACTCTAAAGAATTATATCCCTTGTCCGAGGGTCCTCTATATTCTGTGCATCATATTTTTCTATTCCTAATAAATGCAAGCTTCTCTTGACCCCCATTTGTTTCAGACCCAGGACTCGCAGACATATGCCAACTTGCTAGTCTAATAAGCGACTTCTCATAGCACAAGTGCAGGATCGTCTCCAGGAGAGCCATGTACCTGGGAAAGAAGGAACAGTGCTGATGTCATGTGACAGGGAATTGTCACTCCCTATGTAGTTGAGAACTCTGAAGCGTGATTCACAAATGACCACAGCTACACCTTTCCCCACCTCCCACTTGCTGAGGAGCCAAGGCAGGACACAGCTGTGGCACCCGGCCAGGCCAGCCCTCCCAAGACCCTGGCTGCTTTTTATTTATCCATTCAGTTGATAAATGCGATTTGGCACTCACAGCGTGCCAGGACCAAGGCAGCAGCGTGCCAGGACCAAGGCAGGGTGCTAGAGGCAGCTCTGTGGTAGACAGGCAAAGTCTGTCCTCCAGGAATTAACATTCTTAGGGGGAGACTGGTGGGCAAACAGATGATCACAGAGCAATGAGAGAATGTCCCCAGTGCAAGGGTCAATTATTGGCATCATGGGAGGACACAAGCCAGACACAAATGTCCACTTTGGAGATTCAGGACAGGTTTTCTGGAAGGAACGAACTTCTGAGCTGAGCCCCAGTGAAGAGTGGGAGGTAGCCTGTTGAAGAGGGGCAGGTGGAGCATCAGGGGAGAGAAGAGGTGCCCTTAGGCTAATGGGACAGCATGTGCAACGGCCCGGAGGGGAGTGGAGTTGATGCACTGGCTGGAGTTATCTTGAGGACCGTGCGGAATCATGGAAGGGTCCTCAGCAAGGGGTGATGTGATACAGTTTGGGCTTTAGAGAAGTCACTATGCCAAGTGCACTATGACGCCGTCTGCCCAAGGCTGGGGGAGGTGAGTTCCTGTGCAGCCACGCAGTGCTGTATCTGGGTTCACATGGAAGTATCTGGGGCTCGGGAAGATGAGGTTTTCTGTTCCATACAAACACCTTCAAAATCTCTCTCTTTTTTTTTTTGCCTTTTGAGTTTGCTAGCAGTCAGTTAGGGACACAGCCGAAGAGACAGAACATTAGTGTTTGTGTGCGTTCTTAGGGTGTGGTGGAAATGGAGTTACCAGGTTCTTGCCAGAAGGCCCATGAACTAAGCATTTTCCCCTAGTTCCTCATATTTATTTTGACTGGGTGAAACACTGTTATGTGGAGTGGCTTCAAAGTAAGGAAATTTGGCCGGACGCAGCTCATGTCTATAATCCCAGTACTTTGGGAGCCCGAGGCGGGTGGATCACTTGAGGTCAGGAGTTCAAGCCCAGCATGACCAACATGGTGAAACCCCATCTCTACTAAAAATACAAAAATTAGCTGCGCATGGTGGTGGGCACCTGTAATCCCAGCTACTTGGGAGACTGAGGCACAAGAACTGCTTGAACCTGGGAGGCGGAGGTTGTAGTGACCCAAGATTGCGCCACTGCACCGCAGCCTGGCTCAAAAAAAAAAGAAAGAAAGTAAGAAAATTTCTCTGATGGAAAAGGCCAGATGATTTTTTTTTAACACTACAGTAAGAACCTTTATGAGTATGTTGTGTTTTTCAGGTAATGAAGTAAGAGTGAGCTGATTATCTTGCTTTTCAAATACTAGATCCATTTACTGTGTGAATAAAATCTCCCATCGGGGCTACTCCTCTGGGCTTACCTGTTGCTGGATGAGGCGAGCGTCTCGAGGAGGGATCAGCACTTTTCTGTGGAGGGTCACACAGTAAATGTTGTAGGCTTGTGGGTCGCTTGGGTGCGGCTGCAGCCACTCAGCTTTGCTAGCGTCCAATGCTAGCGCAAAAGCAGAGGCAACAGGGAGACCAGTGGCCATGGCTGTGTTCTAGTAACACTTTATTTAATTATTTAATTATTTATTTTTATTTTATTTTATTTTTTTTTATTTTTATTTTTTTTTTGAGGTGGAGTCTCACTCTTGTTGCCCAGACTGGAGTGCAATGGTGCGATCTTGGCTCACTACAGCCTCCACCTACCGGGTTCAAGTGATTCTCCTGCCTCAGCCTCCCAAGTATCCGTGACAGGTGTGCACCACCTTGCCTGGGTAATTTTGTATTTTTAGTGGAGATGGGGTTTCACCATGTTGGTCAGGCTGGTCTCAAACTCCAGACCTCAAGTGATCCACCCTCCTCAGCCTCCCAAAGTGCTGGGATTACAGGCGTGAGCCACCGTGCCTGGCCTCTAGGAACACTGTATGTATGGATGCTGACATTTGAATTTCATGTAATTTCTACCTGTCACAAAATACTCTTCTTTTGACTTTTTTATATGAGTTTAAAAACAGGAAAATCGTTCTTATCCTGTGGGTCATCAGAAGCAGCTGGTGGGCCACATTTGGGTCTCGAACATTCTTTCTTGCTCTACCGGGTGGGTGCTTATGCTTCTTTAAAAAGCTTCCCTCCAGCTAGGACAGCTGGATTCCAAATCTTATCCAAGCTGTATTAGGTTTCTGAAATTCTTGTCTGTGTGCACCAGATACTGCCAAGTATATTCAGAGAGAGGCACCATGGATGAGACAGAGCAGTCCCTGTCTTGAAGGAGTCTCATGAAATGTTAACATCAAATGGGAATGGATATACAAAAAGTGAGGATATTGTGGGAATATCAACATATTCCAAGGGTGGACAGGGGACTTGGGTCTCTGAGCACAGGTAGGTAGACAGGAGGTGGAAGGCAGCCCAGGCAGAGGGCATGGCAGAGGGAAGAGCACTCAGGTGTTGGCAGTGCCACTGCCAAGGAACTGCCTGGGGAGACCATGTGCCTGGACTTCCAGCACTGAATCCGTGCCTCTCTGTAGCTCACATCTTATAACATTTCCTGTTTATGGCCAGGTGCGGTGTGATCCAGCACTTTGGGAGGCTGAGGTGGCTGGATCACCTGAGGTTGGGAGTTCGAGACCAGCCTGACCAACATGGAGAAACCCCGTCTCTACTAAAAATACAAAATTAGCCGGGCGTGATGGCATGTGCCTTTAATACCAGCTAGTTGGGAGGCTGAGGCGGGAGAATTGCTTGAACCCGGGAGGCAGAAGTTGCAGTAAACTGAGATCGCGCCATTGCACTCCAGCCTGGGCAACAAGAGCAAAACTCCATCTCACATTAAAAAAAAAAAAAAATTCTGTTTACATTCCATCTCCTGCAACAGATCACAAGCTGTTTATTCTCAGGCCTGTAGCTCGGCAGCTCCTCGTGTCCGTTGAGAGATCGTCCGATGAATGCCTTCCCCCGGCCACGTTACTATATAGTGAGGCTGCTGCCCTCTGTGTGCATGGACCGTAGAGCACTCAGGCACGGTCACTGTTTGAATGGTCTTAGCTCTAGGATTTGGAGCTCTGGCTCTTGAGTTTCCTCATCTGCAGGGTGGGAGGGTTTGCTTTAGATGATGTCAAGGTCCCTGTCTAATGCTTATCCATGGAGTGGGGTGCACTTCTGTTTTCCTCCTCCTCTGCTGAGTTTTCTTGATTATTACACTGAACCCAGTAAAGCTCCTAAATCTAAAGGAGATTGCTTTTCTCCCAGGGAGACGTGGGATGGGGCACCAGGGATATTCCCGGCTGTTTCTCACTTGTCTTATATGATTACGAGAGGCTTTACCTAGCGGTCAAGAGATTGATCTGGGGCCACACAGCTTGGGTTTGAATCCTGGTTCCCCCATTTCCCAGCTGGTGACTGGGCAGCATAACTCCCCTGTGCCTTCATTTCCTCCTTGGTAAAATGGAGATAATGATAGTTCCTGCCTCAGAGAGTATTTGTGATGATTAAATGATTGACTGCATATGGCGTGCTTAGACCAGTGCCTGGCATCGGTGTGCGCTCAGAGCATGCTGGGTGTCATCCCCACCACGCTGGCCAGCCTGCAAAAGGAACCAGCGGTCTGGGAGCAGAGGGGGCTGTTTGGCTTGCTGCCACGCTTTCCCCTTTAGCGTGATCTGAGGGTGCCACCCGGCACTCACCCTGCTGCCATCACTGCACAAGCCACCTACCGCGCTCTGCCGCAGGTTTCCAGGGTGCTGCCAGCTTGGATTCCAGTCTGACAGGAATGTGCTTGCTGTCCAGCTTGGATTCGGATCTAACTGGAATGTGTTTGCTGTTGTCAGGAGTGTGCCGATGCTGCCTCCCCAGCTCTGTCCCTAGCTGAACTCAGGACGACATGCAGCGAGAGTGAGCTGGCTGCGGAGTTCACCAACGCCATCCGTCGGTAAGCACCCTTTCCCCACCCCAACCGGTGTTTATCCTTGGCATGGAGGCTTTGTTCTGAGTTCTCTTGGCAGCTCCTGAAAGGAGAAGGTGCTGATGTGTTCCGCTTTACCCATGTCTTGGAAGCCAGAAATGGAGAAGGCCTGTTGGTGCCAGGCCTTTCAAAACAGTGAGAAGAGAGAGCACTTAAGAGACAGCACTTAGGCAGTCATCGCTGTGAATAAGAAAATGCCTCTTCCTTTCCTTTTCTGCTATATTGTTGCATTGGCTAGAAACTTCGGGACAGTGTTCACTAGTGAAGTGAAAACAGGCACTCTTACCTTTTTTCCAACTTCAGCAGGAATCCTCTCCTTCAGCACTGGTAGCAGGAAAAAGCCTTGCTTATTTCTTTAGTTCTGGGAAGTTTTCCTCTATGATTTCAGTGTTTCTTTCCCCTCACCGCCCCGCAGTTCTTTATCTCCTTCTGCAAGGAGAAACAGATGCTGATTCATCCAGCTCTGTCTTCCGCATCTTCACTTTTCATACCTACTTTCCGTCACTCTTTTGGCTCCGGGTTCTAGAGCAGCATTGTCCAGTAGAAATGTAATGTGAACCACATATGTAATTTTAAATTTCCCAGTAGCCACATTAAAAGGAACAAAGACAGCTGAAATTCACTTTAGTAATGTTTTATTTAACACAGTATGTCTAAATTATTTTAACATAGAGTCAATATTTTCTAAAACTACTAATGAAATCTTTTATCTTTTTTTAACTAAGTTTTCGAAACCTGGTAGCGTATCTCAACTTCAGACATTTCAAGTGCTCAAGAGCCACATGTGGCTAGTGGCTGCCCTGTCGCACAGTTGCCGTCCTGGAGAGAGAGAATTTTTTGGCTCAGTTTTCCAGTTCACTAATTTATTCTTTAGTTAGTAGAGAATCTTCAGCAACCATTTTTTTTTTTTTTTTTTTTTTTTTTTTTTTTGAGACAGGGTCTCCTTATATTGTCCAGGCTGGTCTCAAACTCCTGGGCTCAAGTGATCTTCCCGTCTTGGCCTCCCAAAATGTTGGGATTACAGGCATGCACTACCATGCCTGGCTCTTAAATTCCTTCATCTTTTTTGTCTGCTGTATTAATTCTGTTTCTTCACATGTAATTCTTTTCATATTTGAGTTTTGTGACTCTTTCTTGGTGTTTGCTTTCTTTAAATATTCAGTGGTTCTTGTTTGTGTGTTCATTCTTGTATTTTGAATTCCTAGGTCACCGGTTTGAGATTTGTTTTTGTTTTTTGTTGTTGTTGTTTGTTTTTTGAGATAGAGTCTTCCTCTGTCGCCCAGGCTGGAGTGCAGTGGTGTGATCTTGGCTCACTGCAACCTCTGTCTCCCAGGTTCAAGCAATTCTCCTGCCTCAGCCTCCCGAGTTAGCTGGGACTACAGGCACGCGCCATCACGCCTGGCTAATTTTTTTTATTTTTAATAGAGACGGAGTTTCACCATGTTGGCCAGGCTGGTCTTGAACTCCTGACCTCAGGTGATCCACCTGCCTCAGTCTCACAATGTGCTGTGATTACAGGCGTGAGCCACCACGCCCAGCCGTCCTGTTTGAGAGTTCTGCTTCTACTTATTACAGCCTGCCACCCAGAAAATGTAGCCAGGTCCTTCAAAGTGCTGTCAGCTGGGTCGTATCAGAAGCTGTCTCCTGGGCTTTCTGTGTCTCCTGGCTAATAACAGCCCTCTAGTCTGCATATCTGACCCAAGCCTCTGGTCCCCTCCTGTTCTGGTAGCCAACACCTCTGGTTAGAGCACCTCTGAATCCCCTTCTTCCTTTTGCAGAGTATTTTTCTGCATGCATTTTGAGTTGCGGTTTTCTTTTCAGGAAGAAGAAAACATCTGCCTTTCATTTGTTATGATTGCGCGTGGTTTCTGATATACAAAGAGCACTCCTTTCGAAGATGCTCAGAGGTTTTAAAAAATGTCTTTCCTGTCATTTCTGGGTATTTAGGGTGGGAGGGGAAGGCTACTGTGTATTTTCAGTCAGCTAACTTGATCCAGCGGGCCTGTTTATAGGATGGCCTCCAAGCTGATGGTGGATGGAAGGTTGCCTTGTGGGGAACTTCACTGAACTTCACTACCTTCCTGATTGACTGTCACTTTTTGTCTTTCCTTCCAAGTTGTAATAGCTCAGTTTTTACTCTGCCAGAGCCTCTGGCCGTGTAGGTAAATGGTAATTGCTCTGCTTGGGGTGGGAAGAGAAAAGCTGCGTAGAAAAATGCCCTTAACAAATCCTAGTGACAACTGTGCCAGAAACAGGGGATGGAAATCCACTCCCTGTTTCCAATGGGAGCCATTTGGATATTGTATCTGTAAGCTAAGCTCCTAAGTTTTTCAAATTCCCCAAACCTCAGAGGCCTTTGCTGGCACAAGGAAGATGCAGGTTGTGCTGACTAAACATAAAGAGACTTCATTTATTCTGTCAGTCAGGATGGATTTCCAATAATCCACCTTAAGTTGGTTAGCATGGATTTCTAATCAAGACCCAGATGGATGGAGCCAAGCACAAACTTACAGAGGTAAAGGAAAAAGGAAAATAACATAATGATACTGTAAATATAGCTTAGAAACTGGGGTCATCACTTCATGAGGGGTTACAATATACATACACACCTCGGGGCTGCAGTTTGGGTTTCTGTTATGTACTTTGATGAAATGATTCCTGAGGTTTTTATTTGAAAAAATCAAATGGAAACGAACACCTTTTTGGAAGGTATTAAAAAAGAGCCGAGCTGATGTTGAGGTCAGCTGGGAGAGTCTTACCAGCATTTTCAGCAGTATTTCTGCCTTGAAAAAAGGAGGCTGCCGGACACCAAAACTGTGGGCGCAGGCATCCAGACTGAAAAGATCCGGCGCAGGCATCCAGACTGAAAAGATCAGGTGTCGCTAAGGGAGGAGGAAGAGGCTAAGCCACGGGCTGTCCTTAAGGAGAAGCAGCCATCCCGGGGAAGGTGCCCTGTGACACTTCAGTCACTGGTTCTGGGTCATGACACTGTCCCCAACCCAACCTCCCCTTACCTGGCCAGCCCTTGTCACCCAACTCTGGCCCTCTCAGTGTGTCTTCTCCTAACTTTCTTCTGTTTGGAACAAAACCAGGGCTCCATGCCACCCCACCTTTACTGTATGTATAGCTTCCATCTGGTCTGATTTCGTTCCCCCGACTTCGGTGAACATTGATTGCAGTTTGTTGGCTCTGGTATTGCCATAAAACCCCATCTGGATGACCAGGTTTCCAGTCTGGCACAGGAGATGTTTTCTTACCAGGGTATCTTGTTTTCACTCTTGTCCGTTCAGCCTGTGTGCTGTAAAAGCCTTCTTCTCCTCAGATCTGCCTCTCAGCCTTGGTCCTAGTAAAATTTGACTGATCTTTCCGCCAAGGAAGTGATCTATAAAAAGGCAGCTAAATAAGGGAATCTTCAGAAATGACTTTTTTGTACTCACATGGTGCTTGTGCAGCCTGCCCTCGGGGCCCGAGCACAGCTGAGAGGAGCAGACTAGTTCATCTCCGTCATATTCTTGGGAGGCAGCCGGGAGCAGGTGCTGCTCTTCATGTGATCCCGGGGTGGGGACTGGGACAGCAAGGCTGAGGGATCTCTCAAGGTCACACAGTGAGGCGGTGGGGAAGTCTGCATGTTTCTACATTCTCTGTGGGGACCCCTTGCACCCCACATGTGCTGGCAGTGTTGGGCTTGCTTGCAGATAAGTGAGCTGAGCCCACTCGTTTATCCGAAGACTCTACCTGCTGTGTGGCTGATGTGGGCAGTGAGAAACCTCTGTGCCTCCAGTAAAGAGCCACGTCTTAGTCTGTCAGTGC